GGGCATAGCATAATTCTAATAGCCTTCAATCTTATTTGTAGAAAATTGGACCTACTTGCCATGCCCACCTGTCACATCCTCTCTTTCACAAGTTGTCAATAGTTTGCTCTGATGTTTAATACTATATTTAAAATCAATAAAAAGCCAATGTTTTAATCTATCAAATGAGAATAGTCTATTTCACTTCCATATCATACTTTATTTCCATGGAAGCACATCATTGAACTTATCTGAATTTTCAGTGGCTCTTATAGCACAGAGAGCCAGAAAAATTGATAGTTATAGGACACAGTCTGCTTTTTGTGTTGTTATTCTGTGTTCATAGATGTGTTATTTAATTAAATTAAAAAAAAGTTAATGTAGTAGTGCCATTAGTATATATAAAAAAAAAATAGTAGGGTTATCTTTTATTGATAGTTGACAGCAAAAAAAGGACCAAGATAAGTACTATATTTCTTGTTTTACATGTGTATTCTTTATTTATTATTATAAAAGTAACTAAAATATAAAATTAGAAACTTGTTAGGTTAGATTAGGTAAAATAAAGAAACTTTCTTTCACTGGTATTCTTGCGAGCAGCTCCTGTTACGTGTTCACCATTAACCAAGTGATTTACAACTTGTGTGGTGGGATTATTAGTTGCAAGGGCAATAAAGCAATGAAACTTAAGTAGAAACAAATGTAGTTTCCTGTTACAATTTGAAGTCATTCTACAAAGAAAAAAAGGTTAATTTACATTTATTCCATATTTCTTTATAATGGTAATGAAGTCAGTTAAATTAACCAAATGTATATAGAGTTAAGGTAGAGAAAATAACAGATAAAATGTAAAGTCTTATTGAAACAAAAGTTTGATATTTATTTAGGAGGTCTTATTCGATGATGAGGAACCCACTTTGAAACTAATAATGGTTGGAGACTGTTTGAATGGGTAATGAAGAAAAACTTTAATAGAAGTTTAACATAACAGCAAATGTACAACGTTTTGACAAGGTTTTGTCATCATCAAGTACAAGTAATTTACACTGACGTGTAGATATATATATACAGTATTGAACAAAGAAGTCATATGACCGGAACTGTTGCAAAACTTGGAAGAGGTATCTAGGCACCTCGGGGTGTTGGTTGAGAGTAGTGTTGTTTTGT